TGTGTGTGTGTGTGTGTGTGTGTGTGTGTGTGTGTGTGTGTGTGTGTGTGTGTGTTTTCCTCATAAGAAAGGGAAAAAAGTCCCATCAAACCTAAAGCCAATGTTTTCCAATGAGCTCTAAACTTCAATCTAAACCTGTTCAGTCTGATATTTGACCTCTTTACTCTCCTAAAGCAAGAATCTCACTGAAGTCCTGCTCCAGAAGTCGGACTTCCAGTCATCTGATTCCAACTGGACCGTGGACTCCCTGCTGACCAGTCAAGTCGTAGTCATGGGACCAGATGACCTGGTCGTGTCTGTTGCAAGGTGATGAACAGGAGGATGTGTGTGGTATGTGCTTTAAGACATGGTTACATTCTCTTATCTGTAGTCGTGATGATTTTGCAGTTCCTTGAACCGGCCGTTTGGGAGCAGGATCATGACTCGGTCGGGCGTCATCCTCAACAGCCTCGTTCAGGACTTCCTCTGGACGAAGCAAAGCAGAGGGCCGCCGCCTCTGGCTAACGAGGTGCAACGTCTCTGCACGGCTCAAACACTAACTCAAGTTAATGTGTTAAAATGTTCCTGATGCATTCGCAGTTTGTGCTGCAGGAAAACCACGTGGAGCCTGGAAGAAGGCGGCTGTCGTTTCTGATGCCCTCTGTCATGGTGCCGGTCTGGAACAGGTGTGGGACCTACATGGCACTGAGCAGCTCAGGTGGACGAAAGCGTTTGAGTGAAATCGCCCAGGTTCGCTCTCTTTCATCTACAGCTGGTGCTCCTGAGTAAAATGATTTCAGTTTCTCATGTAAACTGTGTTTAGATGCTGGACAGTGTGCTGTTCCACCACAAGGAGAAGAACGACAGCCTTTCTCTGAGCGGACGTTAACCTGAGCCACGTGGACTTCTTATCTGGAAGTATGACATCATGTTTAAAGGCCAACCTCTGACTTTAGCCGTGACATTAAAAACTGTTTTTAATTCTTTTAATTCTCATCAGCTGAGTTTCCARAGGAGAGTGGGCAGATATTTTGCTGCAAAGGATGATCTCTGCTGCCCGTGGATCCAGAAAAAACAGATATTAAGACCAAGTGTTTAGATGTATTTTGATCTTATTTAAAAAAATAAATCTTTCAATGTCAGTGAGTTCTCCTGTTACCCACCTTGTTCTGATCATTAGCCAGCAAAGGATTTACTTTTAATGTAAAACTTGTTCCTTCATGTCCAAATAAAAGGAGCAAAGTCATTGCATGACTCCTATTTGTTTCCTCTCTCCTTCCAGCCAGTAATTTCTGATAAAGTCAAGTTTTGATGGCTGTTAAAGATGTGGTCATGTATGCAGATGTTGAAGAAATGAGGGYGGTTGCGTAAAACTGATGTGAGGTTCAGATAGTGTCACACATGCAYGCTGCCTGCGTCACTGAGCACCTGGTGCAGTGTGGACAGCATGTCAGTTTTACTCTCCTGGCTGCTCAGTATAATGTAGGTTTTGTTCTGTAAACTAAGCTGTTTGTGCAAAAACTATTTAAATCTTTAGGTTTCACCTTGCATGTTTGYTTCATCAGAAACATGAATTTTCTGTTAACCACAGAACTCTGTGCAAGTTGAGTACTGATGGAGGTGCAAAAGTCTATGAAATAACGTTTTTTGCACAAACCTATGTAATTTAGAAATTTTAGACAGTAAAATACATTGATCTAAGCTGAACTCAGACTAGCAATGAGCTCGTCACTCCAGTCCAAYTAAACCAATTTACCAAACTGAGATTGGAAAAAAAAATCAAGTCCGGCAGGTAAGATATTCACCGTTCAAAATTCATAGAGCCCCACTTTAAAATGACCAGAAGCTTATTTTAACTGAACTTAAATTCCAAATCCTATAAACTTGCACACATTACAGATAATCCTTGGGCGTATTAATACAAATGCGTTCACTGCTTTAAGTGAAATAATTTTTGTACTAAATTTATGTACTTGCATAAATTATGTGCCATAACTGAATATGGTCGCAATGATGCTTCAAATGTTCAAGAGTAATCAGACATTTTCACTYATGAAATATTTAAATAAATTGGAGCTCAACAGATGTTTTTTATGGGCCCATRCCATTTTTATTGACATGCTGCCAAYTTTTTAGGGCTGATTCTTGAAGCTGGTGTTGCTTTTTCTTCCATGTACATGACAAAAATGACACAATGGTAGCAAATGTTACACAAGTCTCAATTTAAAAAATAAATAAAACATTAACAATGGATAGCAAACAATATTGAACATTTACTTATAAATCAGTACTGTATTACTGTATAAGAAAAGAAAAAATAATCTACCAGACAGTATTTCCTTACTTTTTTTGCTGTTTATATTTTCATGTAATTTTTTTTGGTTAACATACAAATTATATAAATGAGGGCAGTAAATTCATAGTGGTGCACTGCCCCCCTCTGCCCCGCTCTTACTGCTCCCCTGAGTCCAGTCTCGTCAGATAATAAAAGGTTTGGAGGCTGATTCACGCTGTTTCATCTGTTCAAAGGGTGAGTGGAGTAAATGTTGGACAACTACAATGAGAAAATTTGTAAYTGGATTTAGGTTTGTTAACTTTTATTTAACGTGCCCAGAGTTTACCTCAGGCCGCTCAGAGGAGACGTGAAGAACTGTTCTTTGTGAGCAGATTTTTATGGGCGGAGAAGCTGGGCTGAAACCTGGGCGTCGTCGGTCACATGCAGGTCGGTGTTAAAGCTTCAGCCKCCTCCTCCTCAGTGGCAGTCAGTCAGGAGGAAGTGTCTGGATCAACATGCGTCTGTTTGTCCGCAGATAACCCGAGCAAGGAGAGTGGATTCACCCGGACTGATGACAGCAGAGTGAGTAAACTCTGCTTTAAAGCCTAACTTCATTTATTGGACGTTTGACACGTAGACTGGGTTTTTAAGTGTTGGTATTGAAGCACCATAAACGGGATTTATT